TCGAGTCAGTTCCAACCCATAGCGATCCTGTACAGGATTTCGTAGGATCAGTTGGTGAGTTTGAACCTTGCAGTTCAAACGGACTCTGCAGTCCTGCGCATTAGCTCACAGAATCACAAAAAAGCCTTATTTTTCTCCAAGTAGCAGTTGGTAGGCTCTAACTACTGCTTTGTGGTTAGTTGTCCAGTGCTTATCTTACAGAGACACAGGGCTCTACACACACACACACACACACATACATACATATGTGTATTGTTGTTGTTAAGTGCCTTAGAGTCAGTTCTGAGGAGTAATTGATGAGCTTCAGCCCCAGACCTTGAGGTTCAACACAGCTTTGCAGTTCAGGCACATGAATTCACATCACAACACCCTACCAGGATACACACACACTCTCTCTCTCTCTCTCTCGATATATATATAATATATTGTATATATATTGTATATGTGTGTGTACATATATATATATATTTATGTATGTATGTTTGACAAAGCATATTTCTACAGAGGTATTTGTATGTGTTGTAATTTTATTCATGTATATAGTACAGTCCTGGTGTGGCACTGCAGAATAATTGCAGGGTTGGTTTGAATCGCAAAGTCAACAGTTCAAACTCACCAGCCACTTTTTGGAAATCCTATTCAGAGTTGCTATAAATCGGGACTGACTCAACTGCCGTTAACAACCACCTTAATAGTAATCAAGGTAAATGTATGAAAGCTATGTAGCCACAACCAAACGCCTTCAGGTAATGAGTTACTGGGCTTGGGAACTTAGGACCACAGTCTCAGGGGACAGTGTCATAACATAGGACACAAAGATAGTGCTCTACTTGTCTTTGGTAGATGGTGACTGAGCTCTTAAAAGCTAGCAAGCGGCTGTCTAAGGTACAGCTATTGATCTCTTCCCATCTGAAGTAAAAAGGAGTGAGGAAAATCAAAGGCATATGAGGACAAATAGCCCAAAGGGCTAGCCATACACTCCTGAGACCAGAAAGTCTAGATGGTGCCCAGTTACCACTTCCTACCTCTCTGAAAAGAGATTGCAACAGAGGCCCAGGAGGAGTGGGAGTAAACTGTGGAATGAAACTCAAAATCATGAAGGAGGAGACTAGGCTTTCCAACCTGAGAGAGGCAGGTGGGGCCCTGGATACCACGGCCCTTGGCTGCTCTTCAAGCCTGGAACTCTCTCACCCCTGCAACTCAGCTGTCAGCCATACAATGAACAGACAGATCTATACGGTGAACAGTAACTTGAACAGTAACACCAGAGGTGTGCACTCCTTAGAACAGTTAACCATATGAGATCAAAAGAACAGCATCTGCCTAGGGATTGAGCTCCAAAGGGAAGGAGAGGGATAAGAAAGGAAGATGAACAGAAATGAGAAGCACAGGGAGGAAGTGGCAAGAGTGCTGTTACTTTGTGAGGATTGTAATCAATGTCATGAAACAAAAGGTGTATGCAAATGGAAAACCAGTTTGCTCTGGAAACTTGCATTCACATCACAACTTTTTTTTAAAGAAAAGAGTTCCTTTCCCTCTTCCCGGGCAAGTATGAGGGAACTTCAGCAGGTTCGTGAAAAATGGAATTAAAAGATCCTTTTTCCATGAACATTTTGAAGTGTCGCTGAGTTGCCTGGCCAGTGCATCGCGGAAACTCTGGACGAAACTGGGTGCCTCTGTGTTCTCTTTGGTGGCCTATACCACAGGCATCTGCTGTGTAGTCTTTGTCTACCTTCCTCCCCATGCAGCCCCATTTTGGCAAGTGCTCTGGGACAGGATTGCTATGTTGAGCAGACATAGGGTGAGCAAACTAGAGATGTTGATTCATGAAAAATGCCTCTGGAAGCTGTAGTTGGCCACAAGCATAGTGTTGTCATGGTACCATGCTCTTCAGCAGAGTCAGAGTGACTAGAAGAAGCTTTCAAAAATGACAGAAAAAGATGGCTGTGTCTCCAACTGAGATCTTCAAAGTCTTCACTAGAGGCTCTGACCCACCTGAAAACGGCAGAATTAGAAGCTCTGGGAAATGGAGCTGAGGATTCGTTCTCAGCAAGATCCTTAGTAATCCCATTGCGACCCAAAACTGAGAGATCACAGGAATGATCCATTTTACAGATAGTGAAACTGAAGAGTGGAAAAGTTACATTACTTGACCAGGGTCTAAACGGCTAAAGTAAATTTATTTTATTGTCTGAGAAGTGGGTAATGGATAAGATCCCTTTTGACTGGACATTATATGGGTGTCTTTTTATTTTCTTGGTTTAAAACACATCCGCTAACCTGGCCATGTGTGAGACACAGTAAGAAAATGAAGACGACATAGCTGTTACCAGTCATCGTTGACTTGTGGCAACCCCGCGCACAACACAACAAAATGCTGCCCGGGTCCGCTGCGATCGGACCTTTGCGATCTGTGGGGATTTCCTGGGGGAACTTTTCAGAAGAAATCACCAGGTCTTTCTTCCTACACTGTTTTGGTCTGGTGGTGGTTGTAAAGTTCTGTCAAGTTGGTTCCAATTCGTAAAGGGGTTTCCAAGGTGTAGCTGGTAGATTTGAACCGTCAACCTTCAGCTAGCAGTCCAGTGCTGATCCTACAGCGTCACACCAGGACTCTTAGCTCCACTAAAACCTCCTTAGTGTCGTTGTTATGTGTCATTGAGTCCTTTCCGACTCAGCAGCATGCAAGCCTCCACTGACAGGAAGCAGCTACCCTGACGGGAAATTGAACCCGAGTCTCCTGCATGGAAAGTGAGATTTCAGCCACTAACCCACCAGTGTCTCCAAGGGAGCCCAAAGCAGGGGCTCAATCGAGGTCCTGATTTTAACTGGTTGGCGGATGGATTCCTGAGGCAGGGGTGACTCTACATCTCCAGTACTCATCCTGCAGATGATCCAGGCTGGGGCTGTCTTGAGGAGGTAGGGAGGCTCCTGGTTCCCTTTAGACTCACTGGAGAAGCCTTTTCTAAGTCCTGACAGCCACTTCCTTCACTTTCAGGTACACACACACACACATATTATGGGGACTCTTAATGCCTCAGGGCAGCAGTGCTTCCCAGCTCAGCCAGCAGGTGCTGGGGACCAGAGTGGACAGCACAGGTCCTGCCCAGGAAACTTTGCTCCTGACTCCCTCGTGGGATTTCTGAGAGGAGCACACATGACCCCCCACACACACCCCTCCCACCCCCCTGAATTGTACCTCATCCACACATAGCTAATAGGCTCTCCCCTACTGAGAAAACTCTAGGACTCTGGCTAAATGCTGAGGACCCTGTAGGCTCTGAGGGACTCAGTTTCCTTGACTGGCAGCAGGAAGACATCAAAAGGCAATCCAAAAACTGAATGAGAACTGTAAAAAGCAGCTCTTTGGGTTGAGACACCCACCCGCCTGAAGCGTGGGGCTGGGGGAGCAGCAAGTGACAGAGGTGGCTGGCTGTGCGCTTGGGGTTTGATGATTTCGGACCTGGGGAGGTGGTTCCGAATAAGATGTCATGTGCTAAATCCTCGTGCCAGGAGGTGGTGGCCTACAATCCGCCTTAACCCTCTACTTCCCAGCGGATTACTCAGGCTCAGGCAGTGAGCATCTCGCAGACGCTTCACCAGCAGAGGGCAGCTGAGGGGTTAACTCCGGAAATCACAACTGTGAGAAGAGGAGGGAGACCTGGTTTGGAGCAGTTACCAGCGCCTCCAAGTCGCCTGTACCCAGGAGCAGTGTGGGGGCCAGGCATCCTCCTCCCTACCCTCTCCCAAAATATGGTGACTTAGGAGTTAACGGCAGGCTGAGCATCCCCGAACTTTCCTAGCACCCTCATCCTTAAAAATAAAAAGGGGATCAATATGGAGAACAATTTTGATGCTGTTTCTTGCCTCTCTCCCCAGAACCTGGGATCCTCATCACCAGGCAAAAAGCACAGCAAAGAGAACTCCATCACGGTAGGTGGCTCTGGGATGCTCACAGGTTGGGTGGCATGGCTAGGCTGTTGCCATGGTGATGTGGACCGCAGAGCCCCATGCCCAGCCTGGAAGTTCCAAAGCTGGGATTTTCTCAAGTCCCTTCCTGTTTCCTGTTTTCGCTTCTCCTGGTGGGTGACTGGGAGGAGGGTGGCTGGCATATTGTAGGAGCCATTTTTCAGGATTAGTAAGGGGGGGGGGAATTGGGAGGGGTGGCTTCTGTTCCACCTAAGTGATGTGACATGTAAATTACAGGCGGCAGGGTTGCTTTTGTGCAGGGGAACTTGGAGAAGATGGCAAAGTTAGAAGCCAGAGAAATGCCCTAAGAATAGAGTTCCTGGGAGTTCCTGAGTGGAAACAGGCAGCTGCTGCCTTTGCTGGCCAGCCTACCCCCTGGGGTTATTCTAGAAGCCCGACAAATCCCAGTGTGGAGGTGGGGAGGGACTTTAGAGGCTGAGCAGGCTTCTCCCAGCCCCTCCCTATCAGCCCTGGGCTCTGGACAGTAATGAAGGATGGGTGAAGTGGAAGCTGGACCGTGGTGACCCTCAATTTAGGCATATGACTGTACAGGGCATATGACCCAACAGCTAAGGACACAGTGGCTTGAGAAGTGTGTTTTGACTGACAAATGGAAGAGCTAGGAATCCCTGGATGGTATAAACAGTTAACAGCGTGGCTTTTATTGAAACGTTGGAGGTTCAAGTCCATGCAGTGGTGCTGCAGAAGAAAGACTGGGTAATCCACATCCAGAAAATGGAAAACCCTGTGGCTGAGCTATCACTGCTGACCTGATCTGAAGGGATCGCGCTACAAGTTCCTAGATAGAGTTCACGCTACAAGGTCCTGGGTAGAGTAGAAGCAAAACGTGAGACAAAACGCAAAATCATAAAAGTGACCAAGCTTATCAGTCTGATAGAGACTTCGGCCCTTTAGGTAACTCTTCAGGCCTGGAACCGAACTCACCCCATGCCTCAACTTTCAGCCAAATGCTGATGGTAAGTGCTGAAGAATCCTTTCCAACTCACAGCGACGCTCGATAGGTTTCCCAAAGGTACAAAGCTTAGCTGAGGCGGAAAGCCTCATTTTCCTTCTACAGAAAATGCTGGTGGGATTGAATCAGCGACCTTGTGGTTAGCAGGTTAGTACTTATGCTATAGAGCCACCAAGCTTAGCCTGATTATAAGTGGGCTTGTAAGGTGAACAGTGGAGTCCTACTGTGGCACTGTAGGATAAAGCACTGGACTGTGAGCTTGGTTTGAACCACAAGGCCAGTGGTTCAATCTAACTAGTCACTCCTTGGAAACTCTATACAGGGTGTCTGTGAGTTGGAACTGACTCAACAGCACTTAACAACAACAAGGTGAACAATAACGTCAGGGAGGTATACAGTGATCAACCATACAAGATCAGAATGAGTGTCTGCCTAGTAGAGCGCTCAGAAGGCAGGAAGGGGAAGGAAAGAAGGATGAATGGAATCTGCCTAGACACAGGGAGGTGGTGGGTACAGTGCTGTTGGTTGTGGGGATTACAGTCTATGTCCCAAAACAAAATGTGCATGAATTGTTGAACAGAAATGTAATTGGCTCTGTGAACCTTCGCCCAAGTCACAATAAAAAAGTTTTCAAAACTTTAAACTGAAAATCCCAAACAACCCTATGGATCTCTGTTCTACTCTGACATCCGTGGGGTCACCCTAAGTTAGAATGGACTCATTGGCAGTTGGTCTAGGATTTCTGGCCTTTCTGACCACCCCTATGGGGTGTCTGCCAAGAGTGGGTGTCCTTCCCTCATCTGGGCCTGCAGTCCTGCTGTGGCAGGAAGGCATTAGATGGACAGCAGTAGCAGTAATGGTCAGAGTGACTGGCTACTGTACACGCAGTGGTCTGAGAGGCTCGTTGGCTTTCCCAGGGACAGGTGATAGAAGCAGTATATTCATAGTGCAACACACTCAGAAACTGGTGGTGGTGTAGGATAAGCACAGGACTGCTACACAAAGTTGGCAGTGCAAATTCACTAGCTCTCTGTGGGGAAAAGATGAGGCTCCCTGCTCCCGTCAAGATTTGCAGCCTTAGAAATCCTATACAAGGTCGCTATGAGTTGAAACTGATGCTATGACCCTTACACACAGCAACAACAGAGTCCCGGTGTAGTGCTATAGGATGAGCACTGGACTGCTGTAGTTCAAACCTACTCATAGCCACCCTGTATAGGTTTCCAAGGAGCAGCTGGTAGGATTGAACTACCATCTTTGTGGTTCCCAGTCAGTGCTTATCCTACAGTGCCACACCAGGAGTCTGTGTGAGTTCCGAAGGCTGCCTTATCTAAACACCACACATCACTGGTGTCTGATAAGAATACAGGTTTATAGTCTCATAGTTTTAGAGTCTGAGAGTCCAAGCCAGCTTGTTGGCTGGGCCATATTCCCTCCAAAGATGGAAAGAAAGATCCTTTCATTTCTCTCCCAACACAGTCTCAGGTCTCCCTTGACCTTGGAGATACATCTTCCCATGAACACCCGTCCTCCTTCACTATGTCTGCTCTCCTCTTACAAGGATACCATTCACTGGGATTGGATTAGGACCCCAGCATTCTGATAGGATCTCATGTTAGTAACTGACAGCATCTTCAAAGACCCTATATCTGAACAAGGTCACATTCACAAGTACAGGAGTTAGGACTTCAACCTACCTTTCTAGGGGACATTATTCAGTCCCTAACGTTGGGTAGTGAAAAGTTGACCGTCCCCTCCAACTAGGTCTACAGGCCAGTGTCAGTGGGGGCTGTGGACACAGCGCTGGGAGAAGACTCCCCACCCCAGAAACTCCCTCAGCCTCCACCCGGACATTGACAACATCTCCAGGGTTTTCTGGGTATGCCTTTCCCCTATCATGGTTTGCTTCCCTCCAGTCAGAGTGGGAATCTCTCTGATTACTTGCCCCAGGTGTAGTACTGGGTTGTTCTTCTCCTCTGGTCTCACCCAGCACTGCAAGCAAAGCCTGGGTTCATGGCAGCCCTGAGCTGGGCAGGAGCCTTGGTGTACTTACAGGTGTTGTCAAGCCTTGAAACCAGAGATCAGGAGCTGGAGGTTCATGGCCTGACTCAGCTGGCCAAGGAGTTTGTTCAGCTTACATGGCATCGTTCTTACTATTTTGAACCTTTAATTTAAAAAGAAAAAACAAATCCGTTGCTGTTCAGTCGGTTCCAACTCATGGCGACCCCACGTGTGTCAAAGTAGAGCTGCACTCCGTAAAGTTTTCTTACTTTCATTTTTCTGCTTTTAATCTTTATTGTGATTGATAATAAAGGTTCATAAAGCAGGTCAATTTTCCATTCAACGGTTCATACACGTTGTGTTTCATGCCCCTGATTGCAGTTCCCACAATGTTAATGTCACTGATCCCACTTCCTCCTAGGTTTCCTGTTTCCATTCATTCCTTCTTTGTAAAAATTTTTAACTTCTTATTGTGAACTGGATATAAGTTTACAGAGCAGATAAGTTTTCCATTCAGCAATGCACACACATTCTGTTGATTGTCCTTGACTGTGATCCCCACTTATCCTACTTCCTCCCTGTGTTTCCTGTTTCCATTCTTCCTCCTTTCCTACCCTTCTGAACATTATCCTTGGGTAAATGAGGCCCATTTGATCCCAATGACTGATTATTCTAAGGTGTGTGTATCTCCCTACTATCAGTGTTCCCCTATGGCCCGCCTGTGGTTTGACTGGAAACTGAACCCTGGGGGTGAGCTCATCTCCAGACCTGAAGGGAGGGGACAAAGGACCATAGTCTGAAGGGTTCCAGCGGTCTCTGTTTGACCAGTAAGCCCAGTCTCTTTTTGAGTTTTGATCCATATTTTTCTCCCGCTCTTTCCAGGACCTTCTAGTGTGATCTCCAGCTCTTTAATGCTATTCTGTCTCCTCCATCAGCATCTTTCTGGCTTCTGCCAACCTTCACTGATGTTTTTTTTGTTTGTGTTCCATGCCTTGCAGATAAACTGTGTGACGTTCCCTCACCCAGACACCATGCCGGAGCAGCAGCTGCTGAAGCCGACTGAGTGGAGCTATTGTGACTACTTCTGGGTAAGTGTGGCCTCAGTTTCCCCCAGTGATTCCCCAGTGCACGCCTGGAGTGGCACGGGGTGTGGGGCGCAGGAGGGACCACTCCTCTCGAAACCTAAATACTTGTTGGGGATCCAGGGCATCAACTTAGGAGCCATTCCACAAACCCAGGAAGTCAGTGGGGTTCTTGTTCACAGCAGTAATAAACCTCACCAGAGTGAGGGGAGTCGGGGTCCCCTTCTTGGTTTCCTCAGCGAAGCCTGAGTGAATCACTGAAAGAATGACTCAGCCTTCTAGACTTGCTGTGGCTGACCTTGGACGAGCCATTTTTACCTCTTGAACCGCATTGTTTTCATCAAAGCCGTGATGAACTTGTGTCTAAAGACCTGTTGTAACCTGTAAAGCTTTAATAATTCTCTGGCTTCAAAACGTTTCCAAAGATCCTGAAGAAATATAAAGAAAATGAGAACTCTTCTCACCACCACGCAGAATGGACTAAAACGCAAAAAACTCCAAACTTATTGCCATTGAGTCAATTCAGACACATAGTGACCCCATATAGGGTTTCCCAGGCTGTCAATCTTTATAGAAGCAGAAGCTTCCTCCTTCTCCCATGGAGCAGCTGGTGGTTTTGAACTACCAACCTTGTGGTTAGCAGTCGAGTGTTTATCCTACAGCACTGCACCACGGACTATCCATCTTTTCTTTAGATTTGCTCACCCAACTATTAGGAGTCCTTCAGTGGTGCTATAGGATAAGCACTGAACTGCTAATGTCAAGGTCAGTAGTTCAAACCCACCAGTCGCTCCTTGGAAACACTGTACGCTTTCACCACTGTGAGTCAGAACCCACTTGATGGCCCTTAACAACAACAACCATCTGTGAGTATTAAGAAACCTCAGTTGCGTAGTGGGTTAAGTGTTAGACTTCGACCCTCAGAGTGGCGGTTCAAACCCAGCAGCTGCTCCAAGGGAGAAAGCGGATTGCTATCTGCCGTGAAGACTTACAGTGTCAGGAACCCTAAGGAGCGGTTCTGCTCTGTCCTGTAGACTCGCAGTGAGTCAGAATTGACTCTGTGGCGGTGGGTTAACGGGGTTCTAGGCACAGTACTTTTTCCTTTTCACTAAAAATCACTCACTTCTCATAAGATGCCCAGAGACTTCTGACACCCCAATAATGACTTTAGCTGGGTTTCTTCCAGAACAGAGATCTGTGCCAAGCCAGCAAGATGATATTGAAAGGGCTTTGGTATCAGACAGACTCGGAGGTGAAGTTGGAGAGGGAGGACAGGGACCCGAGTGGATAAGACTTTAAAGGTACTATAGGTGCCATGTCTCCAGATGGTGCAAATGGCTAAGCACTCGGCTACCAACCAAAAGGCTGTTTGAGTCTACCCTGGGGCTTTTCAGAAGAAAGCCTTGTGATCTGCTGCAGAAAGATGATGTTGTTAAGTGCCATCTAGTTGGTTCCAACTCATAATGATCCCCTGTATAGGGTTTCCGAGAAGGGGCTATTGGGCTTGAACAGCTGACCTTGCAGTCCAGTGCTTATCCTACAGCTTTGCATCAGGACTCCAAAGATAGCAGCTCTGAAAACTCTGTGGAGCCCAGTTCTACTCTGCACTCTGTGGGTGTGCCTTAAGTTCGGATTGACTCGACAGCCTCCCATTGGGGTAGGCACTTTGGGTTTGATTCTGTATGCAGTGAAAGATTCTGGGAGGTTTTCAGCCCCAGCAGGACATGATCTGAGCTCTTTGCTTCATCGTTCAGGGTGGACATTGAGCAGCCAGGGGTAACAGGTGACTAGACCAGGAGAGTGGGTAGAGAGAAGCAGCTGGGTCTGGAAACATCGTTCCTAAAGAGAGGTTTGGGAGAGAATAGTTTGACCATGGGCATCTTGGGAGCTGGGAACTATAGGGAGCCAGGGGGCTTTATAGTAGCCTGGGAGGCCCAGAGGGAGCTTGTGACCTGTCAGCAGCTTCCCAGAGAGGGAGACTTGTGAGTTCTCATCTTAATGCCAGCTCTCCAGGGACTCTGGTATTTACTCCGGGGTCTTATCTCTCTGACTATGGGGGCCTCTCTCTGCTGTCTCTGTTGTGGAAGCCCATTCCTCGTGGTTGCTTTTCTCTGGTGTTGGTGAATCACTTATCGTTTCTGTCCTACGAGGAAGGCAGTATTCCGGTTTAGGATTTTAGATAAGTCTTCTCTTGCGTTTCTGACCAGGGTACCACTCTGACAACACACACCTCACCTGCTCATAGAGAAACTCCTCTGTGGCAGGAGCAGCCCCATTGTGATGTGGTTCGGGGTGGTGATCAGCTATAACAGAGGTATTAGAACCAGGGCAGAGGGTGTGGGTTAGGGAAAACAAGGCAGGGATCCCGCATTGCACATGAAGGGAGATAGTGATCGAGCCCTTCATCTATGTTGAGCCCTTCCATCACCATGGAAAATGGGAATCTCTCCAGGCAGCCCCAGCTCCTTCCTTTTCCCACTCCTAAAATGTCTGATCGGGAAGGGATCTTAGAAGTCCCACCCTGTCTGAATTCAAAGGGGGGTGGGGGTCTCAGCTGAGGATTGGAAGGACGTGTCTACATACCCCCGTGGCTAGAACTCAGGTCTTTCCAGAGTTCTTCCTTACTAATAATCCTCTTTGCATTTTTCAACTCTTAATTGTGAACTGGGTGAAGGTTTACAGAACAGATCAATTTTCCAGTGAGCAATTCTTAAACACTTTGTTTCATCTCACTGATTACAATCCCCACAATGCAACCTCACCAATCCCACTTTCTCCCTGTGTTTCCTGTTTCCATTCTTCCTCCTTTCCTAACCCTTCTGAACTTTATCCTTGGGAATGCTGCCCATTGAATTGCAAACGGTTGATAATTCTAAGGTGTGTGTACCTCCCTAATTTATTGTTCTTTCTATAGACCTGCCTGTTGTTTGGCTGAAAATTGAGCCATTTCCAGACCTGAAGGGTGACTAAGGGCCAGAGTCTTGGGGTCCCACCAGTCTCTATGCATAAGCCTTGTCTCATTTTGTAAGCATTTTGAGTTTTGTTTCACATTTTCTCCCAGTCTATCCAGGGCATTCGCATGTGATCCCTTTCTGAGCAGTTGGTAGTGGTCGTTGGGCCCCATCTAGTTCTTCTGGTCTCAGGGGGCATGGCGACCGATTCTTCACTCTTTTCATTAAGCATTTGGATACTCAGTGGGGGGATGGCTGTAATGGAAGAGGACTATGGCCAGGGTACCTGGGGAGGGTCTCAGGGTTGGTCCTTGAGCAGCCAAAGGAAGGTGTGCTTTGAGATGCCAGGTAGCAGGTGGGCAGGGAAGAGCAAGAAGTGGGGTGAGGGTTTAGATGTATTTAAGGAAGAACAGGCAAACAAAACAAAATTCCTTTGTTTTGAAATTTTAAAAATATTTCTGTTTGTAAATGAATTGGGTTCTTAGTCCCCGGTCTGCTGACTTGGTCATCTTTCTCAGTCCCGACTTTTACAGAAAAGCAACTGACTGTTGCTGTTGTTCATTGCTGTGGAGTTGGCTCCAAGTCATGGCGACCCTGCATATAACAGAGCGTGAGGGCGCCAAGCTCGGTGTCATCCTCACAGCGTTGGCATGCTTGGGCCCATTTGTGTTTGGGGGGCCTCCCAACCTCAGGGACTCATCTTCCACCCAGCACTGTCTTAGGCAGTGTTTTATTGTGCTCCATTGAGTTCTCATTTATTTTTGGGAAATAGATTGCCAAGCCTTTCTTCCTAGTCTGTCATAGGCTGGAAGGTCCACTGAACCCTCTCCACTATGGGTAACCCTGCTGGTCTTTGATATAATGATGGCATAGCTTCCAGCATCACAGCGACATGTAAGCCACCACAGTGCGACAGTTCGTAGTAACAAATAGTTGTTAGCATTTATTGAGCAGTTACTATGTGGTGCCAATAGTTAACACACTCAGCTGCTAGCTGGAAGGTCAGAGATCCGAGTCCACCCAGAGGCACCACAGAAGGCAATACTGGTATTGACTTCCCAGAACCCAGCCAGTGAGAGCCCCCTGGAGTCCAGTTCTACTCGGACACACATAGGGTTGCCATGAGTTGCGATGAGGTTGACTCTGTAAGCACTGTAGTTGTATCACTGTGCCCTGAAGTCAGCCTAGGGATGGGTACCATTATTCTCCCACCTTTGTAGCTGAAGAAGTTTGGGCTTAGCGTGAGGAAAGCACTTTCCCAAGGTCACCCAGCTGGGATTTCAACCCTGACAGCCAGCCCTTCTCCTCTCTCTGGCTTCCCTGCCATTCAGTTTCTACCTCGGAGTGGAACAGCCCTCATCTCTCTCCTCCACACTGTGTTTTATGAGTGTGCACTGCAGGTGTCATGCCCCAGCCAGTGTCGAGAGGAGGAGAGATGACTTAAGGTTGGTGGCACCCACCCCCAAGGTCACAAGCTGCTCCAGCTTAGAATCGGAAGCCAAGATTCCCCAAAAATCCAGCCAGCCTCAACAGCCTGCTGGTTGGCAATAATCTGCCGTCAGACATTGGAGTCTTGCTCTGGTCCACTGGCTCTTCTCCCCTATCTTTCCTAGGTCAGGAGGACTGAGGGGGAATGGGCTTCAAAGAGGCAACACACAGCTGTCAGCAGCTGGCAGGGCTCACGTGTAGGGAAGCTCATGCCAAGGGCTGCGTACCGGGAGAGTCAGCGAGTGGGGCAGCTGGAACTGAGGATCCTGCCCTGTCTCTTGGTTTCAGATCTCTTCTGGGGTCTTTCTCCCCACTGCCCATTCCCCCTCGCTCCAGACAACACATGTCATCTACAGTCTACCCCTTTTGTTTTCCTTTCTAGGCGGATAAGAGGGACCCGCAAGGCAACGGCACCGTAGCTGGGTTTGAACTGCTGCTTCAGAAACAATTGAAGGGCAAACAGATGCAGAAGGAAATGTCAGAGTTCATTCGGGAAAGGTGAAGCTCTCGGGGCTGGTGATAGTGGCTTAGGGGAGTGGAGTGTGCTGAAGGTGATGGGGTCATGGTCCCGGGACAGACATGGCCAGCAGATGTGACTGTTTTGGCCTATGTCATGATTTTGAAGTTTTGAACCAATATTTGCAACCTACACCTAGCATCTCTTGAGAAAACAGGAGGTCTGGCAGCAGTCACTGTGTGTCCCTCCTGGGAAAGTTGGCTGGAGTTACGTAGCACTGCCCCCTGTAGACAGCACGTTGGTTTCCAATTTGCCATAGTCTCCACTACTCCCTGCTACTGCCCCACACACAGAGACAGCTTTGTTCCTTTACTTACCTTTCTGGGACTCTTTTGAAGCATCTGCTCATAACCAAAGAAGGAGAGTTAACTTTCAACTCAGCTTAGAGGCAAAGTTCTGTATCTCCCTCCCCCACCCCAACACCACCTTCTCTGCCCAGTCTCGTGGGGGAGTCCATCGAGTCTAATGTGATGGCCCCAGGCATGATGAACTTGGAAGCATAGAAGCCACCACTGCCATCAAGTCAATTCAACCCTCTACCATGTTTCCAAGACTAAATCTTTACAGGGACAGACAGCCTCCTCTCTCTCTACTGCTCTCTCACTCAAGGAGGGGTAGGTGGGTTTGAATTGCCAGCCTTGTAGTTGTGTTTAACTCAGTGCACCAGGGCCCCCTCTGGGAGCCTAGATGAGAGGACAGTGAGTCCAGCCTGGTGGCATCAGGGAGAGCTACAACAAGCAGGACCTGTATCAGCCTCTAAATGGAGAGCTGGTATCCTCGTCTGTCTCCTTCCGCCTCTGAGTCTTGAGACTTGGTTGAGCGCATGTGCATGCGTGCACCCCACCTGTGGGTGCATATACTTCTCACACAGGGCTGTGTATACCATACATGCCTAAACATGTTCCCACACGTGTGTGCATAGATCCCTCACATGCATGTGTGTGCACACATACATACATACATCTTTCCATCTGAAACGTATAAGGCAGACTGGAAAGAGTCACAACTCAGAACCCGCTGCAGTTGGGTTGACTCCGACTCACAGCAACCCTGTAACAGAGTAGAACTGGGTTTCGAGATTGTAAACCTTTACAGACATAAACAGTCTCACCTTCCTCCCACCAAGTGACTGATGGGTTTGAACCACTAACGTCTCAGTTAGCAGGCCAACACTTAACCCACTGTGCCACCAGAGCTACTTTTATAATGCCCTTGTTGTTGTTGTTGTTGTTGTTACATGCTGTCGAGTTAGTTCCAACTCTTAACAACTCCATATAGCATTTCTGAGGAGCAACTGGTGGGTTTGAATCCACCGACCTTACAGTTCAAACCAACCTGGCAGTTCAGTGCTTTTCCTACAAAACCATACCAGGACTCCTTTATAGTACATAGTAATATATTTTTTAAACACATTTTTAGGAAAAAAAAAAAAAAAAAGATAGCAACAATTTTATTATTAAGTGCCATGAATTAGGTTCCAACTCATAGTGACCCTGTACAGGGTTTCCGAAGCTGTAAAACTTTACAGGAGCAGAAAGTCTCATCTTTCTCCTGCGGAACAGCTGATAATTTCGAACTGCCGATCTTGAGGTTAGCAGCCCGATTTGTAACCACTACGCTACCAGAGCTCCTTTTCCTTTTCCTTAGGCAGACCTTTTTTTCTATTTGTATTGTCACATCTTTATCGTGTGACCCATTAAGCTGGTAGGCAATTGGTAGGTTGAACATCTCAAGTAGAAGAGAACAGTGGAAGGAGAATACAGGGAAATAGGAAAATGGCTGTAAAACCAAGTTTGAACCCATTTATGGCTCATGCTTTCAGACAGGTGTCATGTTATAGATGAATAAATCTGCCTCTGTCACTCACTCAGTCCCAACTCATAGGCACCCTAGAGGACAGAACTGCTCCCTCAGTGTCCAAGATTGGAAATCTTTACCAAAGCAGACAGCCTCATCTTTAGCCATGGAGCGGCTGGTGGGTTTGATCCATGGACCTTGTGGTTAACTGCCCAACGCTTAACCCACTGTAACATCAGAGTTGTTTATGAAATCACTAGAACCTGCCATTTCAGAAAGCTTGGGCCTTCCCTGAGAAAATGCAGATCCCATAACTTTTTTCATTCCACCTTGGAGCCCTGGATGTCTTTCCACCTAGGAGTCTCTTCCCCAGCTGGGCTGAGGTACTGCAGTAGGAAGGGCCCTGACGGATGGAAAGGTTTACTGAGCACTCAGCATAGAGACGTGCAGACAGGGAATTCTACAGGCAAGAAGAGAGACCTAGTGGCCACAGTGAGGAGAGAAAGAGAGGCTGCAGGAATGACAATCTTTGTAACCCTGGGGTGGTCATGGGGACACAGCAGAGAGGAAGCGCAAACACCGGAGAGAAATGGCTGGGAGACTTGGGAGGCCCAGGTAACCAGCCACAGTGGAGGCTGAGAGCAGAGCAGTAGGAGGAAGCCAGTCTCTGGGGTTTTTGGTGAGTCTGTCAGTGCTGGGGTACTTTGTCAGTGCCATGTCTATCACCGCTGGGGTCCACGGTGCTTCTCTGGTGCTTTTCTCACACAGTGATGGACCAGGCACTCTGAGACCCCCCCCCCTTCCGAGTTACGTAGCACTGCCCCCTGTAGACAGCACGTTGGTTTCCAATTTGCCATAGTCTCCACTACTCCCTACCACTGCCCCACACACAGAGACAGCTTTGTTCCTTTACTTACCTTTCTGGGACTCTTTTGAAGCATCTGCTCATAACCAAAGAAGGAGAGTTAACTTTCAACTCAGCTTAGAGGCAAAGTTCTGTATCTCCCTCCCCCACCCCAACACCACCTTCTCTGCCCAGTCTCGTGGGGGAGTCCATCGAGTCTAATGTGATGGCCCCAGGCATGATGAACTTGGAAGCATAGAAGCCACCACTGCCATCAAGTCAATTCAACCCTCTACCATGTTTCCAAGACTAAATCTTTACAGGGACAGACAGCCTCCTCTCTCTCTACTGCTCTCTCACTCAAGGAGGGGTAGGTGGGTTTGAATTGCCAGCCTTGTAGTTGTGTTTAACTCAGTGCACCAGGGCCCCCTCTGGGAGCCTAGATGAGAGGACAGTGAGTCCAGCCTGGTGGCATCAGGGAGAGCTACAACAAGCAGGACCTGTATCAGCCTCTAAATGGAGAGCTGGTATCCTCGTCTGTCTCCTTCCGCCTCTGAGTCTTGAGACTTGGTTGAGCGCATGTGCATGCGTGCACCCCACCTGTGGGTGCATATACTTCTCACACAGGGCTGTGTATACCATACATGCCTAAACATGTTCCCACACGTGTGTGCATAGATCCCTCACATGCATGTGTGTGCACACATACATACATACATCTTTCCATCTGAAACGTATAAGGCAGACTGGAAAGAGTCACAACTCAGAACCCGCTGCAGTTGGGTTGACTCCGACTCACAGCAACCCTGTAACAGAGTAGAACTGGGTTTCGAGATTGTAAACCTTTACAGACATAAACAGTCTCACCTTCCTCCCACCAAGTGACTGATGGGTTTGAACCACTAACGTCTCAGTTAGCAGGCCAACACTTAACCCACTGTGCCACCAGAGCTACTTTTATAATGCCCTTGTTGTTGTTGTTGTTGTTGTTACATGCTGTCGAGTTAGTTCCAACTCTTAACAACTCCATATAGCATTTCTGAGGAGCAACTGGTGGGTTTGAATCCACCGACCTTACAGTTCAAACCAACCTGGCAGTTCAGTGCTTTTCCTACAAAACCATACCAGGACTCCTTTATAGTACATAGTAATATATTTTTTAAACACATTTTTAGGAAAAAAAAAAAAAAAAA